CTATTTGCCTGGGCATTCAGCATGCAGCAGCAGCGTTCCTGGATGACTCATGTTCCTTTTGTGGATCGAGACTCAATGATCTAACAAAAGTGAGAGTCCCCGCGTCCGCTACTCGTTCAGCTTCTTCTTCGAGAAGCTCTTCGACTCGTGGACAGGGTGATCTGACGGTGACAGTGTGGAACAAAAACCTGACGAGAGAACCTCGGGCCACACCCCCCGCCACAGTGTCAGAGCCAGCGAGCGCTGCTTCGATTCAGGCGTCTGCCTCTTCGCAGGTACCATCTGTTTCGTTCGGCGCTCCAGAGGATGACGCGATGTCGATCGCGGCATCACAGGGCGGGCTTGAATCTTCGGGAAGTGAGGATGCGGCTGCGTTGCCTCCCTCGGGAGCACCAGCGTTGCCCGTGTCTGATCCCGAGATGACGGTCATGCTATCTCGGGCCGCCGTGAGTATCGGGTTGGAGTGGAACCCTCCGCCCTGCCCCGATCTCTCACGGATGGATAATTGGTTTTTGGGGAAAGTTGCCGCCGCAAGGCCACAGCCAAACCCAATTCCTTTTTTTCCCGAGCTGCATGTGGAGCTGACGCGCACTTGGAAGGCTCCTTTGACCTCTCGAGAGCGCGCTCCAGTCTCCCCCGCCTTTCCTCCCCTCGACGGCGTGGCTGCCCGTGGGTACACTGGGATCCCTCCGGTGGAGCGCTCTGTCACGATGCAACTGTGTCCGCAGAGCGCCTCCTCCCGTGGGGCTCCCAAGCACCCATCCAAAGCCTGTAGGTTCTTGTCGTCTATGGCGGCGCGATCCTATAGAGCGGCGGGACAGGCAGCCGCTGCTTTGCATGCCATGAGCACTTTGCAAGTGTTTCAAGCAAAACTGCTCAGGGACATGCACGAGGGCGGGACTGACCCAGCGGCTTTTAATGAGCTGCGAGCGGCCACTGACCTCGCCCTCCGGGCGACGAAAATGGCTGCTCGCTCCGTTGAGCAGGTGATAGCCACTAGCGTGGTCCAGGAGCGCCACCTATGGCTCAACCTGGCAGACACAAAGGACGCTGAGCGGACACGTCTGCTCGACGCCCCTCTCTCCCAGGTTGGCCTGTTCGGCGGTGCGGTTGAAGACTTTGCCCAGCAGTTTTCGACCACCCAGAAGCAGACGGAGGCCATCAAACATATTCTGCCCCGACGGTCAGCTGCTGCCTCCACCCAGCCGTCGGCCCAGGCGCCTCCCTCTGCTCGCCGCCGAGGACGCCCCCCTGCGGCTCCCCTCCCTCCCACGGGTGGGCAGCACCCTGAGTTGGTTAAAGAAAGACTTAACATCATCAGACTGGAATGAGTACGCTCGTCACCCCAGCGCGGCGACCCTCTCATTCCTCTCTGTCCCTGAGGGTGCGGAAGGAAGTGTGTGTCGTCCCTAGACTACGCACCTCCCCTCCCCCTCTCTCGCCAGACCCCCGACAGAACAGACCCCAGTGGGACGCTGGTCCTTCCCTGGTCCCTTCTGTCGGGGAACGGGGCTCGACTGTGCATCCGCATGGGGTAACTCCCGAGCGCATGCCAGTCTCCCCGCCCCGCTGCCCCTCCGGGGGGACGTCTGTGGTTCGCATGACCCCGCTGGTTCACTTCCTGGGAGCCTGGCTAGAGCTCCCCGGGCTGTCCCGCTGGGTCATAAGAACGATCAGATTCGGCTACGCGATTCAGTTCGCACGGTCTCCTCCCCGTTTCAGGGGAGTTCGCTCCACTTTGGTCGGTGGCAATGCCCCGGTCATGAGAGCGGAGATTGCGACCCTGCTGGCGAAGGGTGCAATCGAGACGGTCCCTCCAGCCGAGGTGAGGTCCGGGTTTTACAGCCCCTACTTCAGTGTCCCCAAGAAGACCGGTGGGTTACGACCGATCCTGGATCTGCGCATTTTGAACCGTGCTCTTCACCGGCTACCGTTCAAAATGCTCACAGCCAAACGCATTTTCGAATGCATACGGCCTCAGGATTGGTTTGCAGCGATCGACCTATAGGAGGCGTACTTTCATGTCTCCATATTGCCTCGACACAGACCGTTTCTTCGGTTTGCCTTCGAAGGCCAGGCATATCAGTACACGGTTCTCCCATTCGGGTTAGCTCTGTCTCCTCGCGTCTTCACGAAGATTGTCGAGGCAGCCCTTGTTCCCCTTCGCGAACAAGGGGTTCGCATTCTGAACTACCTCGACGATTGGCTGATTCTGGCACACTCTCGAGAACAGGTTTGCGAGCACAGAGACCTGGTGCTCCGGCACCTAGCCTGGCTGGGCCTTCGGGTCAACCGGGAGAAGAGCAAACTTTGCCCCATGCAGAGGATCTCTTTTCTCGGCATGGAGATAGACTCGGTCGCCATGTCTGCGCAGCTCACGAACGAGCGCGTGCACTCACTGCTGACTTGTCTTCGACAGTTCGAAGGCAAGAATGTGGTTCCACTGAAACTCTTTCAGAGGCTCCTGGGGCATATGGCAGCCGCGGCAACGCCGCTCGGTTTGCTTCATATGAGACCACTTCAGCTGTGGCTTCGCGATCGAGTCCCGAGGTGGGCATGGCATCGCGGCTCGCTTCGAGTTCCAGTGACTCCAGCGTGCCGCCGTACCTTCTCCCCGTGGTTGAACCTCAGCTTTTTGCGGGCTGGTGTCCCGCTCCAGCGAGTTTCCAGGCATCTCGTTGTCTCCACGGATGCATCCACCACGAGTTGGGGTGCCATGTGCAATGGGCATGCAGCCGCGGGTTCCTGGACAGGACCCCAGCGCCTCATGCACATCAATTGCCTCGAGCTGTTGGCAGTACGCCTGGCCCTGCACCGCTTTCGAGCACTGCTCAGGGGTCAACATGTACTTGTCCGTTCAGACAACACGACTGCTGTAGCGTACATCAACCACCAGGGGGGTCTACGCTCGCGCCAGTTGTCGCAGCTCGCCCGCCAACTCTTGCTATGGAGTCAGAAGCACCTGAGGTCCCTTCGTGCTATGTACATTCTAGGAGACCGGAACCTGGCAGCCGACGAGCTGTCTCGGATCCGCCCTATCTCCGGCGAATGGCGACTCCATCCCCAGATGGTCCAGCTGATCTGGGACCAGTTCGGGGAGGCTCAGATAGACATGTTTGCCTCCCGGGACTCATCCCACTGCACCCAGTTTTACTCCCTGTCCGAGGGCACGCTCGGCACAGATGCACTGGTGCACAGCTGGCCTCGGGGCCCACGCAAGTATGCGTTTCCCCCAGTGAGCCTCCATGCACGGGTGATGTGCAAGATCAAGGAGGACGAGGAGCAGGTCTTGCTGGTAGCCCCTTATTGGCCCACCAAGACGTGGTTCTCCGAACTCATGCTCCTCGCGACAGCACCTCCTTGGCCTATTCCTCTGAGACAGGATCTACTCACTCAGAGACGGGGCACTCTGTGGCACCCTCGTCCCGAAATTTGGAGGCTACACGTGTGGCTCCTGGACGGGACCCCATTGGAGTGGACCCCATTGCTTTGTCTTACCAGCAGCAAGGCCGTCCGTGCCCCCTTGGTGTGACGGCCCATTCCACTCGGAGTGTGGCCTCCTCTTGGGCTCTAGCGCATGGCGATTCGCTAACAGACATCTGCAGAGCTGCAGACTGGGCGACACCAAACACCTTCGCCAGATTCTACAATCTGCGAGTCGAACCGGTGTCCTCTCACGTACTCGCTTCCGCCAGTACTGGACCCGCTTAGGTGTCTTCGCTTGCTCGCCACTCCACTTTCGACTGGATAAGTGCGATATTCCTTAGTAGTCTTCCATTGAAGCCTTGAGTCCTCCAGCACCCAGGATGCGGGCACCACTGTTGCTCTGGATGCTGGCTAGGTGCCTCCATGTGCACGGTTCCCTATGGTAACTGTCTCATGTGTATTTTCCACTATAAGCCTCTCTGAGCATGTGTCTTCCCTTGGCAAGCCATCTGCCACCCCTGGAGCTTCTAGTAACCACCTACGGTTGGTGCTCCAGGGATCTCCATATGCGTCCCTATGCGGCCATATGTGTATTCGTATGTCCTCCCTACGGTAGGCATCTGGTAGCATCTCCCTCCCGGGATATGTTTCCCAGTGTACCTTGGTATTCTTGTGTCAAAGTAGGACTCCTGGTGCTTAACTCCAGGTTCAGGGGTCTAGACTTTCGCAGGGCACTGGAAGACAGCTGTAAGATGGCGTGATGGCATTGACCCCCAATCTCCGTCACTTCTGACGTAACTCGAAGTGACTACGAAAGGGAACGTCTCGGTTACGGATGTAACCCTCGTTCCCTGAGTAGGGAACGGAGACGTTACGTCTCCCTGCCACTTCAGCTGTACCGCTGGGTAGACGCCGGAGTTCAGTCTTGGCTCCTCAGCGAAGACATACTGCGGTTGCGTTCGCTTCCTCCTTTTATACTCACGGAGTAGGGCGGAGTACGCTATGCAAATTTCCGCAGCCCAAAGGCATTGCATGCCATTGGCTCGTGATTAAATACTCGAAGAGGATTGGCTTTCTATGCGAAACCCCCAATCTCAGTCACTTCTGACGTAACGTCTCCGTTCCCTACTCAGGGAACGAGGGTTACATCCGTAACCGAGACGTTTTGTGGCCCCGGAAAATAACTGCGAGTACTTTATTGAAAAACTTCCAGCGGCCAGAACTCTGACCAGGGAGGTGACAACAGAGTGGGCCAGTGTGTATGCACTATAGTGCTGGGAAGGATTGCATTCAACTTCATGTCTTAAATGGGTGAACTAACCCTTTAAGTATTATATTTCACCAGATTTTACAGTGTAGGCTAAAACATATTCAAGCGTGAATGAGAACCGTTTCGAGGGGGATGCCAGGTGTGCAGAAAAACAAACCAAAAAAAACGAATATTATAATGTCAATATCGAACATTACATTCCAATATATACCAATTTGGCTATAGGGTGATGTGTGGCTAACTTACACAAAAGAGATTGTGTTCCTCAGCACATAAAGATGAACTAATTACCGTGATCTTAGACTGGAATTAACTGGTTTCTCCACTGTATGGATCTTCATGTGTTGCTTCAGGTGACTTTTAAAAGAGAAACTCTTTCCACACTGATCACACGTGTGTAGTTTCTCTTTGCTGTGGATCCTCTCGTGTTTTTTCAGAGAAGATGACACACTGAATCTCTTGTCGCAGTGTGAACACTTGTAAGGTTTTTCTCCAGTGTGGATCTTCTCATGTGTATTCAGAGATGCTGACAGACTGAATCTCTTGTCGCAGTGTGAACACTTGTAAGGTTTTTCTCCAGTGTGGATAATCTCATGTTTTTTCAGAGTTGATGACTGACTGAATCTCTTGTCACAGTGTGAACACTCGTAAGGTTTTTCTCCAGTGTGGATCCTCTCATGTGTTTTTAGATGGGATGAGTGACTGAATCTCTTGTCACATTGTGAACACTTGTAAGGTTTTTCTCCAGTGTGGATCCTCTCATGTGTTTTCAGATCTGTCGACTGACTGAATCTCTTGTCACAGTGTGAACACTTGTAAGGTTTTTCTCCAGTGTGGATCCTCTCATGTGTTTTTAGATAGGATGAGTGACTGAATCTCTTGTCACATTGTGAACACTTGTAAGGTTTTTCTCCAGTGTGGATCATCTCATGTGTTTTTAGATAGGATGAGTGACTGAATCTCTTGTCACAGTGTGAACACTTGTAAGGTTTTTCTCCAGTGTGGATCCTCTCATGTGTTTTTAGATCGGATGAGTGACTGAATCTCTTGTCACAGTGTGAACACTTGTAAGGTTTTTCTCCAGTGTGGATCCTCTCATGTGTTTTCAGATCTGTCGACTGACTGAATCTCTTGTCGCAGTGTGAACACTTGTAAGGTTTTTCTCCAGTGTGGATCCTCTCATGTGTTTTCAGATCTGTCGACTGACTGAATCTCTTGTCGCAGTGTGAACACTTGTAAGGTTTTTCTCCAGTGTGAATTCTCTGGTGCAGTTTTAAACCGTTTTCTAAAACAAAAGTCTTCCCACACTCAAAGCACACGTACTCTCTCACACCAGTGTGAGTTTTCTCATGTCCATGTAAACTGTGCAGCAGTGAAAAACTCTTTCCACACACAGAACATGAATGCGGCTTCTCCTTCGTATGAACTCTCAGGTGTGTCTTTAGCTCTGATGCCCTAAGAAATGTTTTTCCGCCGTGATCACATGTAAACGGCTTCTCTCCGGTGTGGATCTTCATGTGTCGCTTCAGGTGACTTCTTTCCACAAAACTCTTTCCACATTGATCACATGTGTGCGGCTTCTTTCTACTGTGGGTCCTCTCATGTACTTTCAGATTTGTTGATCGATTGAATCTCTTGTCACAGTGTGAACACTTGTAAGGTTTTTCTCCAGTGTGGATCATCTCATGTTTTTTCAGATTTGATGACTGACTGAATCTCTTGTCGCAGTGTGAACACTTGTAAGGTTTTTCTCCAGAGTGAATCCTCTGGTGCCGTTTTAAACTGTTTCCTGAAATGAAAGTCTTCCCACACTCAAAGCACATGTACATGTTTCCTCCAGATTTGACATGATGTTCCTCCTCCACTTCACTCAGCTCTTCTCTCTCCTCCTTCAATTCATTCAGTTCTTCTCTCTCCTTCTTCACTTCTCTCAGTTCTTCACTCTCCTCCTTCATTTCTCTCAGTTCTTCTCTCTCCTCCTTCACTTCTCTCAGTTCTTCACTCTCCTTCTTCACTTCCATCAGTTCTTCTCTCTCCTCCTTCACTTCTCTCAGTTCTTCACTCTCCTCCTTCACTTCACCCAGTTCTTCTCTCTCCTCCTCCACTTCTCTCAGTTCTTCTCTGTCCTCCTTCATTTCTCTCAGTTCTTCTCTCTCCTCCTTCACTTCTCTCAGTTCTTCACTCTCCTCCTCCACTTCACTCAGTTCTTCTCTCTCCTCCTTCACTTCTCTCAGTTCTTCTCTCTCCTCCTTCACTTCACTCAGTTCTTCTCTCTCCTCCTTCACTTCACTCAGTTCTTCTCTCTCCTCCTTCACTTCACTCAGTTCTTCTCTCTCCTCCTTCACTTCACTCAGTTCTTCACTCTTCTCCATCAGGCCTGACATGAAAGGAAAAAAAATAAAATGTAATTTTCAGTACATCAAAATAATTCTAAGAGAGAAATATAGTGAAAGGACATGGAAGTAAGCCCTGATGTAATGGTAGAAAGTAATCAACTGTTTTAAAATGTTATGATAATTTCATGACTTTTAATAAATTGATTTTTCATCTTTGAAACTTTTTATGAATGAGGTAAATTTATCTTTACTGATTATTATTTTTAAAACATTACAGGCTTGTTTCTTTAACAAGAACTATTCGTTTGATCAGACACAACTATTTAACATGATATTAACATTAAAATATAAAATAATGCCATGTTTTGACACCAACTTTGAGATTGATATTTAACTAAAACATTTTAATTCACACTAGCCTTTTTCTTCATAGACTTCCATTCATACGTATGTTCACAATCACACAAGCTCAAGTAAATTACTATGAGAAATAACACAAACGTTTAGCATTCAAGTGGAGTGGATTGTTAATTTTGAATTTAGTTCATTTTGTATTATTATTAGTATTATTGTATACAGCACAGGCCAGTACAACTGCATGGCAGCACCTCGAGATTGGCATAATGGCGGGCTGGACTATCCATTATGTAGTATCATTATGTAGTTACTGCAGTATCTCCATTATCAAGGGTCAGCTAAGCAATGAGAGGTTCCAGGTCAACAATGAGCCAATACCAACAGTTCTGGAGAAGCCCATCAAAAGCCTCGGCCGCTGGCATAGCGCAGAACTCAAAGACTTGAAGCAGGTGGAGCAACTAAGGCAGGATACAATCAGTGGCCTCAAGACGACCAACAACACAGCTCTCCCAGGGAAGCTGAAGCTGTGGTGTTTTCAGTTTGGGCTGCTGCCCCGTCTCATGTTGCCAATATCTATGAGGTCACACTTTCCCATGCATTTCGACTGGAGAGATTAGTGAATGCACAAATGAGGAAGTGGCTTGGACTGCTGAGGTGCATTGGCCTGTATGGCAATGGAGCCATCTCCCTGCCAATCTCAAGTCTGGTGGAGGAGTACAAATGTGCCAAATCAAGGCTGGAAATGACTCTTGACAGAATCCTGAGATCTAGTCATCAGAGGTGCTGCTCCTACCCTAGCAACGGGGAGGAAATGGAAGCCGACGGCAGCGGTTGCGGCGGCAAAGTCTGGCCTCAGACACCGAGATATAGTGGGGCATGTCCAATATGGCAGAGGGGGCCTTGGATTGGAAGCAGCAACACCCACATGGCAAAAGGCTACTCTAACCGAACGGTGGCACATGGTAGTGCGCCACCAAGAGGAAGCAGCCAGGTGTGCCAAGGCTGTCTCCCAAGCCCAGCAAGGCCGCTGGATGAAGTGGGATGGCGTGGAGAGGAGGAAAATCACATGGAGTGAGATGAGGGGCATGGAGGCTAATAAGTTTCATCATCAGAGCTACTTACGATGTCCTGCCCTCCCCAACCAACCTAAATCTCTGATATGGAGAGGACCCAGCCTGTCCCCTGTGTGCAGCCCCAGCAACCCTTAAACACATCCTGGTGGGTTGCAAGACCAGCCTAACTTAAGGAAGGTACACCTGGTGCCACAACCAAGTGCTGAGTTGCTTGGCTCCCAAACTTGAGAACAAGAGGGTAACCACCAACACCACACCTCTAAATGCTCAGACTACCATCCCACGGACACCAACCTTCATGCAGGAAGGGGAGAAACAGGGGATTAAGCCATCACTCCCAAACTCTAGCCCACTGAACGCAGCCCGGGATTGGGCCCAGATAGAGGCTCAACTTTCAACCCGAAATTGCAGCAACCAACTTGAGCCCAGATCTTGCACTCTGGTCCAGGTCCTGCCGGCATGTCTTCATTGTTGAAATGACTGTCCCATGGGCGGATGCCATTGATGAAGCATTCAAACGGAAGAGGCTGCGATATGCCAACTTAGCCGCTGAAGCAGAGGGGCGGGGCTGGAATGTGAAGGTGTGGCCAGTGGAGGTGGGATGCAGGGGTTTTGTAGCCAGCTCTACCACAAGGCTCTTAAAGGAAGTAGGGATCAGAGGACAGCCCCAACAGAGGGCAATCAAAGAACTTGCCACTACAGAGGAACGGAGCAGTCACTGGCTGAGGCTGAAACGTAAGGAGGCAACATGGGCTGCCAAATGATCACATGGTGTCACCACCGTGCGACACACACCCGGGTCTGATCAACCCGTGGTGGGCCAACCCCGGCGGAGGGTGTCTTGTGATAAGTGGCCGGAACACCCAATGAGGTCGGGCACACAACTGAGGTTGTGTCGCACTGGTGGCACCGTGAGTTCTGTGTCAAAGTTTACCCCACCCAAGATGACATCTCCATTCAATTGTTGGGCTGAACATTAGGGATCTGTAACAACCAGTCCTAGTAAGAATCATTAGGTTAAATTTTTGTTTGTAAAAACGCTGCCACAGAGTGTGACGTAATTTTACAACTGTTGCAGCGTCTGCAGAAATTTCACATGCTCAAAGTGTAGAGTGGCCGCGGCTTTAACTGGTTTTAAATGTACAAACCCGATTCCAAAAAAGTTGGGACACTGTACAAATTGTGAGTAAAAAAAGAATGGAATAATTTAGAAATCTCATAAACTTATATTTTATTCACAATAGAATATAAATGACATATAAAATGTTGAAAGTGAGACATTTTGAATTGCCATGCCAAATATTGGCTCCTTTTGGATTTCATGAGAGCTACAAATTCCCAAAAAGTTGGGACAGGTAGCAATAAGAGGCCAGAAAAGTTAAATGTACATATAAGGAACAGCTGGAGGACCAATTTGCAACTTATTAGGTCAATTGGCAACATGATTGGGTATAAAAAGAGCCTCTCAGAGTGGCAGTGTCTCTCAGAAGTCAAGATGGGCAGAGGATCACCAATTCCCCCAATGCTGAGGCAAAAAATAGTGGAGCAATATCAGAAAGGAGTTTCTCAGAAAAAAATTGCAAAGAGTTTGAAGTTATCATCATCAACAGTGCATAATATCATCCAAAGATTCAGAGAATCTGGAACAATCTCTGTGCGTAAGGGTCAAGGCCGGAAAACCATACTGAATGCCCGTGATCTTCGGGCCCTTAGACGGCACTGCATCACACACAGGAATGCTACTGTAATGGAAATCGCAACATGGGCTCAAGAATACTTCCAGAAAACATTATCAGTGAACACAATCCACCGTGCCATTCACCGTTGCCAGCTAAAGCTCTATAGGTCAAAAAAGAAGCCATATCTAAACGGGAACCAGAAGCGCAGGCGTTTTCTCTGGGCCAAGGCTCATTTAAAGTGGACTCTAGCAAAGTGGAAAACTGTTCTGTGGTCAGACGAATCAAAATTTGAAGTTCTTTTTGGAAAACTGGGATGCCATGTCATCCGGACTAAAGAGGACAAGGACAACCCAAGTTGTTATCAGCGCTCAGTTCAGAAGCCTGCATCTCTGATGGTATGGGGTTGCATGAGTGAGTGTGGCATGGGCAGCTTACACATCTGGAAAGGCACCATCAATGCTGAAAGGTATATCCAAGTTCTAGAACAACATATGCTCCCATCTAGACATCATCTCTTTCAGGGAAGACCTTGTATTTTCCAACAAGACAATGCCAAACCACATACTGCATCAATTACAACATCATGGCTGCGTAGAAGAAGGATCCGGGTACTGAAATGGCCAGCCTGCAGTCCAGATCTTTCACCCTTAGAAAACATTTGGCGCATCATAAAGAGGAAGATGCAACAAAGAAGTTTAGCAGCTAGAAGCCTGTATTAGACAAGAATGGGACAACATTCCTATTCCTAAACTTGAGCAACTTGTCTCCTCAGTCCCCAGACGTTTGCAGACTGTTATTAAAAGAAGAGGGGATGCCACACAGTGGTAAAAATGGCCTTGTCCCAACTTTTTTGAGATGTGTTGATGCCATGAAATTTAAAATCAACTTATGTTTCCCTTAAAATTATGCATTTTCTCAGTTTAAACATTTGATATGTCATCTATGTTGTTTTCTAAATATAATATTGAAATTTGAAACTTACACATCATTGCATTCTGTTTTTATTCACAATTTGTACAGTGTCCCAACTTTTATGGAATTCGGTTTGTACATGTTTTATTAGCTTTAATATATTGGTACCGATAGTTGATTGGTTGAACTATTGTTATCAGCAAAAATCCATACCAATGGTTTTTCCGGATCGCGTCTGTTGCTGGAGCGGCTGAGAAGTGTGCACGGTCAGTACACAGTATGAGAGCGCTTTAAGACTGCTGGCATTATAAAGAGCGAGAGCGCCCTCTAGATGACAATTAACAATCACTGGCTGAGTTAACACGTGAGGCTATGTGCAGCACGGAGAGACGGAGACACTTCAGAAGACAGCGAAACAGCATGAATTTCGTTGTGAAACGGTATGAAATAACTTAATCATTAAAGTCATCCCTTTGTCGTTGTGCTAAAATTGGTTTCATCATCATCGGGCATCAGAGCCTGTCTAACGGAGAGCCTTGGCACTTTCTATTAGCCCCATTGTGCATCACCTTGGTTGCAGTTCCATTAGAATTCCACTGGAGGTGATCGCGGGCGAGAGCAGAATGAATGGGAGTCTATGGGGCTAAACGGCTAAAAGTGTCTCTTTCATCTGCTTGTCGTTAAATTAACATAGATTTTATTGTTGATTCCGCAAGTTCAATATAGATTATAGGCCAAAAGTCGAATGAACGAGTACTTATGTCCTTTTGATTTCTTACAGGTTAGGCCGTTGTTAGCCGGAATACGCTAGCATTCTGCTATTGTGTGACGTCATCACATTTCTGAACGGCTTTTTAGAACAGATAAGTGAACTTAAAAATGCAATTTTCAGCCGAGTGTATTATCTTAGTCCTCCCTTTTGAATGCAACTTTCAAATTACTTGACAAAAAAATTATATCCTGAGAAAAGTGGATTTATTGGGATGAAACCCCATTGACTCCTATTCATTCTGCACTCGACCGCGAGCGCCCCCGCATGGACAGAGACGTGTTACTGCAGACAGTCCAGAACCCGGAAGTAACCAGCCAGTGCCAATTCTCTTCAATTAGACATTCTCTGGCGGCATTTACTACTCCTGGGACTGTATACGAGTCCACACTCAAGAGTGTTAAAGTTAATGAGATAATTAAGTGATTAATTGAGTGATGATTGAGCATAATTGAAGACACCTAAAGCAGAATCACAAGGAGAAAACTGGAATTTCAGGTCACCATTATGGAGATGAGTGTTTGCTTTAGTTGGGCTCTTGACCCTTATATTATAAACTTTAGATTTTGTTTGACTGTTGTATCCGAGTTATAACTGCCAGATGAACAAAGAAAAAAATTATCTAATGGTGTTGGTTATATGATGACATTTATCATTTGAACTTAATTTTGTGATTTATGCTGTTGGTTACACAACATGACATCATGACTTTTACGTAAACATACGCCACTTTCGAGTCAGGTGGCGTGTTATCTCCACACATTTTGAGCTATCCACGTGTATCCGTGTATGTCTACGCCATTAACGTCCGCGTCATTCCGCGTGTCTGTACACGCAGTCAAATCTCCAGTCATAAATGCCATTAACCCCAGTGACGGTTAAGTTTAGGGATGGGGTTGAGGTAAGTCATATATTTATATAGCGTTAAGTCAACGGCGTTCATAAACACGCTGAAAGGCGATTATGCATCTTGATAGCACGCCAAAAATGGAAATACGAATTGGCGTGGCATACACACACTACTTCATGAGATCAGTCTAGGTTACATTATAACTGACATTATGTATAAATACCCAGAATTTGAAATATAGCCTAATATAAAGGATTTTTTAAAAGTTGTAAAAAAAAAAAAAATCTTTCTTTTAGGCACACACAGACACTCAAGAAGATTCAGTCAATGCATCTCAACAATGGTGACGAGCAGAATATTCATTTAGGAAAAGTAAATACATAGACAATTCAGATCATAATTTATTCATACTGCAATGCATGATGGGAGCATTAATGAGTTGTGATTGGTGGCAACACGTATTATTATTGTCACCACAGTTGAGATTCTCAGGCTGATTATTGATGTCTGCGTTTCTAAATAAAAGCATTTGGAAGTGATTTGATCGAACAATTTTTATTAAATGTTTTGAATTATAAGAAAAATACAGATTATCGTGTGCTGTAGAACCACTAAACTGTTGCAAATATGTTAAACCAAATCATCTGAATAAGTTTCATTTTTCAGATCACAGCATGATTATGTCAAAAAATAACCAACACTATCAGATCACATTTGTCTTTGCTCATTTGACTGTTATAAATCAATAACAGCAGACAAACACAATTTAAAGTGATAGGCTAGTATAAGTGTCCATCATGCTTTCATGAAATCATGTAACATACTCTACCTTGTCTGTGGACATCGTTCATTCTAAAGCCAGTGCTGGATAAACAGCGAGCGTGCGTGCAACGGTAGGCTAAATTATTTACGACAACAAGAGAATAATCTCAATCCATTGTCTCAGTCTTTACACAAACTGTACAGTCTTGATTCATCAACCCTGTTGCAAAAAGTTACTGTGTATAACTATGAATAACTTGATTATATTTGAAAAATACAACTTTCTCAGTAACTTGGTGTTTCCTGATAATTCCAAAACAAAACAAAAAAATATGTTAATGTTGTTGCAAATTGGGTACCAGATAAAATAAATGTAAAATAAAACAAGTTAAAATATAGTTTTTAGTTAACAATCAATATAAAAATGTCTCAACTCCCTTTACAGACCTTTTTTTAAACCCTCAGTACCATTTCATAGTTTTAACTCTTTATCTAAAAGTGATGAAGTGCTTGAATGTTTCTAACATGAATGTTCTCCAGCATCATAAATGAATGAAGAATAAACACCAACCTCTTTGTTCTTCACTGATGATGTGATTCAGTGTGAGAGGAGCTGATCTGCCAAAATCAAAAATATAAATTTTTATAATAAACAACAGCATTTATGTCTGTCTGTGGATTCATCATACAGTAACTGATGCCAATTCATTTAATTATTTGTATTGCTAATCCTAACATTATTATGCTTCTTCATTAAAATACAGGTATTTAGAATATAGAAAATAATATCATTTGTATATTAGCCAACAAATCCCTGCAGTCTGCTGAAATGAGCTTTAATTGACAATTTTCAGGAATCTAAATATAGTTTGACTTGATAATAACAATTGCAATAAAGTAATTCCATCATTAACATATTTGTACAGAAAATGTAACGTTTCCATGTCAAAATTCATTAATATTTAGCCTATCTATATTCCCATGCATGTATTTGAAATTTCCCACGTTCGTTATTCATACAGGGGCAACATACACGGTCTACATCAAGTTTAATAAGTAACATTTAATCTGCCTGCCAAAGATAAATGTCGACAAACAAATAAACAAGGTAAACATGAAAATGGCCACAGCAAGACTTGGAATCGATTCCCACAAATTCCCCTCACAGATCTCAGACTTTAACTTGACATTCAGTTACAGTTTTCACTCCAAACATCGAGACAATCACTCAAACGAACACACACTCGCTCAGGTCTGAATGAACTCCACATATTCTCCTCAGGCTCGCTGCTGCTGCACTAAATGTGTACTTCAGGAGGAAGACGCCAGAAACGACGCACAAGTATGGCTGTGATCGATGAAAACAACACAGAAATGAGTCTGTCGCTTAATCAAACTATATAAAGTGTGTGTGATGGGTGTGTAAAGATGAGAAATACCGTGAACTGCTCTCCTCACCTCAGAAGACTCGACGCTGAAACTCAAGACACGGCGCGCGCGACCGGTGACGTCATCGGCCTCCAACGCATGCGCATATGGGACACCCCCGCAGCAAATCAGGGCCACGCAGATTCAGCTTTACTAGTAGACTTCCATACATTATTGTTATTTTTAGTAAAAAGTGACTCCATTTACTAAAGGTGAAAGGAATTTTTTCAAGTGAAGCACAAAATAGGAGGATCGCCTCCATCCAGTCTGAAAATTGTTTAGAATAGGCTATATATTTTTTTCAGACTGTGATCCTCCTATGCTTATTTGTAAGCTTGTTCTTAAGTTTGCAGTTTAAATGGCCAAACCAAGCAGAGAGATAAAGGTTGAAACACTTTCAATGTAAAGTCCGACTCAGTGTCCTCCTAAGACAAGTGATCAGCACTTGTAGAATTTCCTTTTGTTGAAACCCCAGATAAAAGTAAAAAGCTACTATTATGTTTAGATCCATGAGGCAGTTCGACAATATCCTTATTAAAAAACACTTCTACATAAGACTGTATTCACATATTTTTACTTTATTTTACTAAAAGCTACTAATTACATCTTCAGCAGTGTAATATGATTACTGTACCATTTTTTATGAGTAATTCCTTATTTTACTATTAGAATAAAAAGTAATTAAATTACATGAATTAATTAATTAATAAGTTAGAATTGCATTACACCCAACACTGATTTTTCAATGACTATTTAAAATAACCTTTAATCTTTAACTAGGCTAATGTGATGGTTTTGCCTGGGTGGTCGGCACAATAAGGAAACAAACGTGTAAATATGAGATCCAATGCATAGAGAGTAAATCAGTTCCACAGCATGTCTCATTAGTTCTGGGGTTTATTTTAAAGTCATGAAATATCGTAGCTTTGTAGTTGTGTATTGTATTGGATAATTTTTGAAGGTGAGAAGTTATAATAAATATTTTCAATGAATTAATCACAACTCACTCAATAAAAAATAGAACAATTCAATTCAATATAAAGATAAACATCCCTACCTAGAGGTGAACATGCACAATTTTACATGAATAAAACAAATAATCCGTAAAACACATTTTCAAACATAAGAGGAAACAAAACATGGAAATAAAGGATCCAATGCATAGAGTGTAAATCAGTTCTGTATAAAACTCAAGACAATGCACAAGATAATAACGATTGTCCCACATAATACAAAGTCAAAACAAGTAACAAATTCGACGCCAAACACAAGTTCCCTAAGGAGTTCATTGCAGGAAAAATACACAACAAATCAAGAATTTATGTGTTTAATACACCCCGACTGCTCAAACCGTGCAACTCATATCTTGTTAGTTCTGCTGTTGGCGGTCCCCATTCCACACGTTAAATACCATCACCCTGATAGCACACGTACATCCCGGAGATGTCTATTTGATGAGTGTGTTTACATCTGGAAGAGTATTTGCTCATCTGCAATCCTGTCAGATGTCAAATAGACTTTTAGAAGATGTGTTTAAGATGTAATGATTTAAGGCCTGTTCACATATTGCGTCTTATGCGCACTCATAATGGAAGCGACGCGGTTGAGGTGCGGCACGCTAGTTTTTTCCAAGCGTGTCCGCGCCGCATCGAGATAAAAATATCTCAACTTTTCAGAACACCGCAAGCGCACCATAAGCGCACAGTAGCTCATGTGACCAGAACCAACCAGAGCGCTACCGCCCTAGCGCGGCGCGCCCAGCATTTTCTACTCATTTTTAGGCGCCATTTGTGAATCCGGCCTTAGAATGTATGTTAAACTGACATCTTAAAGATGTCTATCAGATGTTAGCAAACAGCAGATGCAGTGATCTTTAACAGACATCTAAACATATGGGCGGCGCTATCTGGCCTTGTTTGCCCACAGATGGCGCTGTTCCCATTTATTCAACACTATTACACTCCGTTACATTAAATTATGCTTAACTGGGGAAGCTCCTGTACCACTGTAAATCTTAATACAAGAACCAGAAAAGGGTAAAAATCAGAAAGATGACAAAAAAATCAGAAAGAGTGTTAAACTCCTAGACACGCAGTGTAAATATCAACTGCAAAATTCCTTGAGCTTTTGACATCTAAGAGGTCATTATATTATAAGAATATCCTGTAAGTTTCAGAACTGAAAACGTCCTTGTTAGTCCAATAAAAGCTTTTATTGACACCAGCCTCAGCAAACGACTCGTTTTTCAAAGTGGGGAAGTATGACGTCAAAGAGGATAAAACACCACCCCCGCAGAAGAAGATCAACGCCTACTTCAACACGGCCGGTTTAGCCCCGCCCACCGATTCGCGCATTACACGCATAGCTATATTACATGGATTTGCAGACCGGGTTGAGTTATACCCCGGTATAACATTCCTCAAAAATATTAATGAAAAGTATTACACTACTTACCATCTTATGCAACACTGTTAAAAAGACCTGAATGATGTTATATATTGGGTCACATATTGGGCGGAGTCTAAATTATTATAGGCAGAGAATAGTTGGCGTGACGGGTTGAGTTCAGACTGAGGGACATCACTTTATAGTCTGGTTTTTTTAATCAAATATCTTTTTCTAAAATATTTCTAATCTTTTGACCAAGATTGACCAATATTGAAGACACCTGATGTTAACAAGCAGAATCATTCAAGGAGAAAATATTTAAAGGTACAATGTGTTGGATGTTTTGCCACCAGGGGTCGCTAACCTCTTACAATAACATTATTGGTGTATATTGGTGACGCAAAGGCGTTAAGGCGTATATTGATAATGCAAAGCATTAAAGGGTTAGTTCACCCAAAAATGAAAATTAAGTCATTAATTACTCACCCCCATGCTGTTCCAACCCCGTAAGACCTTCGTTCATCTTCCGAACACAAATGAAGATATTTTTGATTGAATCTGAGAGCTGTATCACTCTTCCTTTGGCTTCCTAAGGGACTGGCTCTTGACGGCCCATAAAGTCATTAAAGAAAATGTTTAAATGTTCCATGTGCCTACAGCGGCTCGATTATAAGTTTATCAAGCGACGAGACTACTTTTTGTGCGAAAAAAACATAAATAACAGCTTTATTTGACTATTCCATTACTTCCTTATTGGCGCATGCGCGAGAACTGAGACGAGGACGTTCTCATTCGTCTACTTCTTGTTACCGGCTGCTCACCGCTTAGGAGTTTTACCGCCCCCTACCGTATAAGATGATAATAAGGCACACTGTCGTTTTTTGAGAAGATTAAAGGCTTTTAAGTGCACCTTGTAGTGCGGAAAATACGCTAATTGAAAAGCGTATGTACAGCGCGCATCTTCCTCTGCTTGTAAACAGAAAGTTTTGCACTTCCAGCTATATCAGCACATCATCTTATACGGTAGGGGGCGGTAAAACTCCTAAGCGGTGAGCAGCCGGTCACAAGTCGAAGGAGATCGTCCTCGTCTCAGTTCTCGCGCATGCGCCAATAAGGAAGTAATGGAATAGTCAAATAAAGCTGTTATTTATGTTTTTTTCGCACAAAAAGTAGTCTCGTCGCTTGATAAACTTATAATTGAGCCGCTGTAGGCACATGGAACATTTAAACATTTTCTTTAATGACTTTATGGGCCGTCAAGAGCCAGTCCCTTAGGAAGCCAAAGGAAGAGTGATACAGCTCTCAGATTCAATCAAAAATATCTTCATTTGTGTTCTGAAGATGAACGAAGGTCTTACGGGGTTGGAACAGCATGGGGGTGAGTAATTAATGACTTAATTTTCATTTTTGGGTGAACTAACCCTTTAAGCAGAATTATGGATCTTGTCGTCAAGCTGATGGATCTTTTATTGATTAGTGAATACATTGATGTTTTTAACATGACTGTGGTATGAAGCAGGGTGCGATTGCCAATGAGTGACATACCAGCGCCACAGTCCCGCAGATATAAGGTAATAAGGACATTTCATTTTACCGAACGACACACAGGTGCTGAATTACTCACACAGGTCAGTTTATTAGACAAATTAAACTTGAGGTAACATTAACGAAACACTGTTTCATTTTCTCTAACAGTTACACTATCACACTAAACGACATTTGAGTGAGTTGAATGTTGTTAGTTAGGTTGTTTGTTGGCTATATAAGACTAGTTTGCTTGCCAAGGTCCATAATGTTTGAACAAAACAACAACAGCGTCAGCGTCCTGCTAGACATAGTTCTCCACTTTGTCTTCTCCCAGTTCCCAGAATTGAACAGTTCTCGACGTCTGTCGCCATGGTTACCACGACTGTATGAGCAGAAACTGAGGGTAACGTGGTTATGACGCCATTGACTGGAAACTCCCTCAGCCCTGCTCACACGCCCCGTTTCCTTGGTTAACATCGCAATTTTCTCATTTTTTGGATATTTTACTGCAAAAATCCTACATATTGTACCTTTATGTCACCATTATAGTGATCAGTGTTTAAGTTGGGCTCATGAGATTGAGATTTTAATGTACCTTTGTTTTTACAGTTTTTAGTGTGGTCTAAAATGAATTCTCAGGAGAGTTATTTTAACACTGGTGTTTTTGCTGTGTATATATGGATGAAGTGTGATCATGATGTCAACAACACTTCTGGGGCTGTGCATTTGTGGTCTCACTACCACAAACTTGGTAGCCCTAAAAGCTTCACATACACACACACACACACATGACCCACAACACATGATCTTAAACACCACCCATCTTTGCACGCCCTTGAATATGTATACCTACTCCTATTCCTTTAAAACCACTAATGTAATGAGTGAGAGTTGACAGATGAAATTTGTTCATTAATCTGACGCACTTTGAGAGTTAAAAATTAAAAGATCCAACCCATATTCAGGATGGGCCGCTGATGTGCGAGTCATAAGGGCCGTGACTGTATATAATGAAGAGGAGGAGCTGTAACTATATATAATGAAGAGGAGGAGCTGTAACTATATATACTGAAGAGGAAGACAGACAGAAACGGACAGAAGCAGAAATGTCTGATCAGTGTGATCTGTGTCTGCTGGGACTGATCATTCTCTCTTCACTTCTCACAGGTAAAGAAATCTGTATTTTCTCTAAACACATTTAGTGGAATTAGTCTGGAAAGAGTTGATTTGAACATGCTCAGTTTATTCTTGCACACATTCACGTTGTGATCTCAGAGTTGTGTATTGATACACACAGATCATACTGTATTACTCCTGATACTGGACATAGTGTCACTCAAACATCTGATGATGAAGAATGATCTTCATATTAAGAGTGTGTCAATGATTTGAACAGCTCTCTGATAAACACTCATAGTTTATTCTGGAGAGCGTGTTGATTGCTTTAAGTAAAGAAAAAGCGGTAAGACTTTACAATAAGGGTATATGAATAATACGGAGCCCGGGAAGTCACCTGTGGGGAAAAAAAAAAAAATAATCCGAGGCGACGGTTTTGCAATCCGTCCCCTCAGTTTATAAACTGTACTCACGGATTCTAAAACTGTTCCCTCGGTTTAACAATTCGTGCCCACGGATTAATAAACCGTACCCACGAGTTCCTAATCCGTACTCTCAGATTTGTAAACCGTGCCCTCAGTTTTTGCAATCTGTACCCACAAATTCGCAATCCTCACGGGTTTGTAATCCGTACTCACGGGTTTGTGGCTCGTCCCCCAGAGTGTGCCGCATGATTCAACCAGGCCTCCTGTTTAGATGCGGGATGCATTGCATTGTTTTTAAAATCCTGTTTTTTTTAAATGGATAATTTCTTGCATTTTCTTAAAAAAAAAAATACCTACATTTAGGCTACTTTTATCTTTAAAGTCCTTTTTTTTTTTAGGAAAAAGCTCAGTAGCCTATATAATAAGCTAAAAAATAAATAAAATAATAATAACACAGTTCAAAAACTGAAAAAGATTTGGTTATATGTTATAAATTATTTTATGTTAAACATATTACTGTCTTCGGTGAACTCATTCATAGTAGGCCAATAAACGTAAATAATAGGCTAATTAACGTTAGCTATCAAAATCCATTTATAGGCTACATAGGCCTATTTAGCAGACGCTTTTATCCACAAAAAAAGAACAAAGCAATTCGTCAAATCAGTCTTAGACAATAATAATGGGCTAAGATTATAACAAACAAACGCATATCCAAGTGTTTGTTTGGAGCGCGCACTGTCACTGAGCCGCGGCCGCAAACACTTCCTATAACAGTGGAACAATTTAAAATAGCCTAATAGCATTTCCGGTCATACAGAAAAAATACATTATACATAATACAATTATTTGCTACTACTTTTATTTGTGTAAACTCACAATAACAAGAAAACGCTGTGTAGGCCTATTTGTAAAATTAAAATTTTTGTTTTGTTAAAAATATTGTTCATCAGGCGCGCTTTCATGATCTCCGGAGCGCGTCTCATAAATAAGCTGAAACAAAAGCCACCTAAAAAAAAAACATCTAAAGCTTGAAATGTCCACTTTTAAATGAACAAATTCGAATCGAAAGCAAATACCGTCTGATTAGGCTATACAATCCGAAAAGTGCATTTCTCTAAGGTGCATCTGCTTTACAGCGGAGATGGAGATCGCCCGTCACTAGAAAACTGTTTATTTAAGCAATAAAAATCCATCTTTATTTTTCAGACACATTTATTATGATTAGCCTCTAAATCATCTCTCTATGGTTCCAGAGACATGCCCTTCTCATTTAGCAATGCGGGCAAAATATAGTTTTTAGAAAGTCCTTTTTTTTTCATATTAATTTGCGAATATTTTAAATGTTTAATAAAGGCAAAAAGTCATTGTTATTTATTTTTTGTGGACATGCGTCAAAATCTTGTGTTTATTTGTGATAATCTCAGCCCTGTATTATTGTCTATGTACACTGTATTATGACTGACATTTGACGAATTGCTTTGTTTCTTTTTTTGATAAAAGCGTCTTATAGCCTATCTGTAGCCTAAATGTAATAATAATAGCCTAATTATTATTATTAGGCCTATTATTTGTGTTTATACATTTAAATGAGCTCACTTTAAGTGTTACGAGGCTGGAGACGAGATAGGATCCAAGTGCAGCTTTAATAGAG